ACCAGATGATCTATAAGCTCCTTTCTGATCCAAACCATTCTATGTTTCTATAATTAATGCTTAGTGAACAATTTAATACAAGATTTCATGATCCATATTTTAGCTTTCGCTAACTGTGGTCTGTAATTTATATTTTACCATAGGAATTTCAGATACATCCTTTATGAAACATGGAAAAATTCTCTATTTAAGTAGGAGTACTGGTATCTACCAGTAGAAGCAAAAATGAAATAACAGTATTGTGAACTGTGAATTTGAACAACAGCAAACAGGGTGAAGGTGAACAACCCTAAACAATTAGCAAGATCATCTTAGTTTGCTCTTTTTCTGGGAAGAAACCAGTGAAAAATATTTTACTCTGTTAGGGTAAGAAATTAATATGTGGCATAAAGTGGTACATCAATACAGTTCCATCACTTGTCTCTGTGTGCTGGGCTGTAGTTCTGATTCACCTGCTGAGGATTACCAAACTCAGTACCTCAGGTAGGCAATGAAATATTGCCTGAGCATCTAGGCCAAATTAGGTTTTCAAGCTCTGGCAGCATCCACTGTCCTATGGTGTTTGTACCAGCTGACATCTGTGCCAAAGCCATATTTTCTGAAAGAATCTTAATTATTTCTACTTTTAGGTTCCTAATCAGTACATATCAGAAGCTGCCCCGCAGCTGCTGCTTCCTTCTGTCTTTGCCTTATTCCCATAAAAAGCTGTTTGAAGGAAAGAACTTTGAGCTGTCTATGAAGTAGTGCAAACTGATGTGGTGGTTTGGCTATAGCATAGCATGACAAAAGTCAGCATTAATGAAAAACAGCATTAAGACAGAATGATTTTGTGTTTATTTCCACCCCCCTCCCCCAAGAGGATATTACTGAACTCGTGTTGAAATCCAAAGACTAGAAGTGTGTTTGTGCCTTCACCACACACTGAGAAACATCCTCATCCACCTTTTCTTGCTCAGCTTCTCACCTACAGAACCTTAGTGAGGTAGTGCTGGGCTGTGTGATAAGCAGTGTTCTGTAGGACACCGAGGTCACCTTGAATGCTGGACTGACAGCCAAAAGCCAGCATTAATGATAATTTTGGAGAATAATTACACTGGATTGGTGCCTGATACACACCCATCAGTGCCTGGCATGGCCATTGTGACTGGTACAGCTGTGACACTCACAACTGTATTGGATCACTGCTCTCTTCTTGGTTTTGTATGACACAATCCTTTTTACTGCTGAGCTATGTTCAGTAATGATTGTGAATTGCTAAGTTTGTGCCAGAAATAGCTGTAGAATGCAAGGAGAGGTTTTAAAGCTACATGAGGATAAAAGCATGGAGAGGTGGGTTAAACAGATGCCTGACACACTGATTTATGATGGAAAAATTGTAGTAACTTCTTGGTAAATGCTGTGGTTATACTAAGGAAACATTAACACTAAAGGTAGGATACTATAATAGACTTGCACATTGTCTTTTTTCATGTGTATTTCGGTGGGGTGGTTTTTGGTTGTTCGTTTTTGAACGGTGGTTTTCATTATTCCGTGAAGTAATACAGAAAAATATGACCTTAAAACTTTCTTTGTGAATTAGTTCGTGAGGCATATATGAAACTAATCCTCTGGAGAGGTGTGATAACTGGGCACCTGCAGTAGCTGTGTGAGCCTTAATGTGCAGCAACTCTAAGAGTGCTCTGCCTGTGTGTTCAGGTGAGTGTTAGTGCTCCCTTTTGCACAGGTGCAGCTCCGTGGCAGTTTTCAGTTAGCTGTGATAGAATCACAGAATTGTTTGGATTGGAAGGGACTTTAAAGATCATCTTGTTACAACCCTCCTGCCTCGGGCAGGGCCACCTTCCACTGCAGCAGGTTGCTCAGAGCCCCAGCCAACCTGGCCTGGAACACTTACAGTGATGGGGCATCCACAACTTCTCTGGGCAACCTTTCAGTGCCTCATCACCCTCACAGTGAAGAATTTCTTCATATCTAATCTAAACCCACTCTCAGTTGGAAGTCATTTACTCTTGTCACTTCGTGCTCTTATAAAAAGTTCCTCTCTGTCTTTCTCATAGGTTCCCTTCAGGTACTGGAGGGCTGCAATTAGGTCATCCCAAAGCCTTCTCTTTTCCAGGCTGAACAAAACTAATTCTCTCAGCCCTTTCCTTGTAGGAGAGGTGCTCCATCCCTCTGTTGGTGGCCTACTCTGGACTCGCTCTAACAATCCTGTTATTGCAGGATTTTTTGTTTTGCCCAACAGCATGTAATGCTTCATTTGAAGCCATTGCAGTCCATCATAGTAAAGACTTCTTGAGGACTCTTAAACTCAGGGGTTACTCTCATGCACTCTGTGTGCATGAGATACTCCTGAATTGAGAATCCTTGAGGGAGGAGTGGAGAAGGAAGTTGCCCAGGATACACACCACTGGCTGCCTGCTTGAACAGAACCACCTAGCTCAAGAAAATCATGGTTCCATCTTGCTTTGCAGTAAAAGAAAAAGTATCTTCTGTCCAGACAGCTCATGGGGTTAATAATTTTTTTGTTCCTTCTAAATAAGGTTGTATTCGTAAGAGAACTGGTGGGAGCCATATTGAAAGAACCAAAACTAGGAAAACACCATTTGGGGCTGTTTCTTTCTGGCCCATAGAAAGTGTTTAGAGACAGGCAATGGAATCAAGTTTTTGATCAAGTTTTTTATTTCCTTTGTTTGTTCTAAGTCAGCATGTCCTTCAGGTGCTCTGTTCCGTTTGGAAGGAGGGGCTTTGCTGTGCTCTATGATCTATCTCGTGTGTGTTTTTCTTCCCCCCTCTTAAGTGTACGATGAAGGGAATTCCTTCCTGGATAGCTGAAGGTACACCCAGCCATCACAGGAATGTGTGGTATGAGCCCCCCTCAGAACACCTCCTGAACCTTTCTCCTTGCTGATTGGCATGGTCTCTGCTGCTCACATCTCAACCCTCTCTTGTGCACAAATGGCTTGAACAGGTAGAGTGAGGTAAACATGAGTTCTGTGATAAACACCAGTACTGAGGAGGAAGGATTAGCCCTACTGTGACCTGAGGAGCAGTTTTGAATAAGGCTCTACAAGATAAAAGATTTAACTTTTTAAGGGTGAAAGCCCTTTTGAAAGATTTGAACATGGCTTGTAATGCTGTGTTGAATGTACTACTAGGAGTTTTGAAAGCTTGCAACAAACCTTGGTGTACAAGAAGACTAATAGTTTGGATTTGCATTTTGGATTTCGTGCTGCTCATTTGATTGCCCTCTGCTAACCATTTATCGAAATTCAGTCGTATCTGTTCTCTTCTTTAAGTCTCTCTCACATCTCAGGAAAACCTCAGCTCTCCCTTTCTTCCTGATACTGTTTGTAGGAACTTTTTAACACAGCTAGTGGGATTTTGTTGGCTTTTTGAGAATAAGCAATGAATTAAATTGGTAAACTTGTGTGGAGAGTTTATAAATACAAATGTCTCTAGTCAATGTGTTAAGCTAGCTTTTTAGTCCCATGTACTGTCAGGTGTTCATCTTAAATGGTGATTTCAGTCTTCTTCAATGTTGTTTGTGGTGTCATGGACCAGAGATACTCTTCACCTGAAAGTTCTCCTTCTAGATTTTAAATGTCTTTTTTTTTTTCTTGTCATTAGAAGGGAGAATAAAATATATCTTTCATTGCTAAATGTACCATAAGTTAATCTGTGCTTAGGTATAGGTTGGGTTTTTTTTCATAGAACAGTATTATGGATTATGGATTCCTTTGCTATCCTGGTAATAGACTCGGGAAGCCACTGAAAAAGCCCATTTGTGCAGCAGTGGTGTAACACTTAACTGCTGTGGCAAGCCTCAGTTTAATGACCTCAGTGTTAGTAAAACAGAAATCCAAGGGTGGATTCGCTGTAGAAAGGATCCTTATGCCTTTCCTCGTAACTTTTGGAGTAAATGAGGCATTGACAATGTTTTGAATACCTAGAATATAATTAAGACACTGACGTTAAATGGCTCTTCTATGACTTGGCAAAACTGCTGATCAGAAAACTGAAACAAACATTTTGCTAACCTGCAGAAGCTGACCTACCTTGTATTTAAGTAGTGCAGACCAGTTGTACTGGTGTGGCAGCTCCACTCAAAGGACTTTTCAGGATCCATGCTAGAAAAGATTACTTCAGGTTTGAGACCCAATGAAGAGGCATGAACTGCTGTGACGTGTTTCTTGCAGAAATGCCAGTTGTCAGACTGATGTAGTCTAATGTGCAGTAGTGGACTGGGTCTGTACAACTAATGCTGAAGTGTTCAAGGCCAGGTTGGATGGGGTTCTGAGCATCCTGGTCTAAAGAAAAGTGTTCCTGTCCATGGCAGAGGTGTTGGAACTAAATGATTTTTCAGGTCTCTTCCAACCCAGGCTATTCTATGATTCTCTGCCTATGTGTGTGTATATGCATGCAGTCCACTGAAAATTTCTTAAGTTAGCTGACATTCCAGATATCTGTATAGGGATTTTCTTTTTTTGCCTTCTGTTTCCATATCTGAACTGTCTGTGGAAAAGGGATACAAAGAATACATAAAAAACTGTAAAGAACTGTTAACCAATGGGTGGTAAGATGCATTGGTTTTGGATGTCCTTCTATTGAATCTGGCAGATGAAAGGATGAGAGAGCAGCAGCCATGATTCTGAAAGCACACAGAGATCTAGAGATAAATGTAAATAGAAAGATTATTGGAACAAGAAAGATTATTGTAACAAGAAAAAGGTTGTCGTGCATTATGTGTAAGAGATCCTCCTTTAAGCCCAGTCTACACTTGGTACAGATTTGAAAATGCCTTGAGCTGTATCTCTGTAGTCCAGTTTGGGTTTTTAGGTTTGAAATGTCTGATAGTCTCTGATAGCAGACAAAACAATATCAGGTGTGTACAGGTTTTCATATTTTATTGTTATTTTTTGGGGGGGGGGGAAATTTTATGACCTTAAAAGAACAACTTGTGTTAAAATAAATTATTCTTTCCTTCCTCTCTCCTTTTTCTCCAGGATCCCGTCTCCGCCAGGAGGACTTTCCACCCCGGATCGTTGAGCACCCTTCAGACGTGATAGTGTCTAAAGGAGAGCCAACAACTCTGAACTGTAAAGCTGAGGGACGGCCCACTCCCACCATCGAGTGGTACAAGGATGGGGAGCGGGTGGAGACGGACAAGGACGACCCTCGCTCCCACCGCATGCTGCTGCCCAGCGGCTCTTTGTTTTTCTTGCGCATCGTGCACGGGCGCAGGAGTAAACCCGACGAGGGAAGTTACGTCTGCGTAGCGAGGAACTACCTTGGAGAAGCTGTGAGTCGCAACGCGTCTCTGGAAGTGGCATGTGAGTAGTTTTGTACCGTTAGCACTGTGTAAGACTTCATAGTTGCTGGTATTCTGTCGCCCAGCATCCTGGGAGGTAAGAAATGCGGATAAATATGACGTTTTGTGAGTAGCTGCAACTCTTAGCCAAGGCATTTTTACGTGTGTTTATTCAGTAGCAGTGACTGTGCAGAAGAGGTGATTTATACTGAAATGAGGTTCTAGCTGGTGTATAAACATGGTTGGCTCAAACATGGACAAAGGATAATTTTCCTCTGAAGAATAATCTAATTTTTAAATTATGCCTAAAGCTGGTTATACTGGAACTAATGTGGAAAAATACCTATCATTTAATCTAAGGTGCACTGTCTGTTTCTCTTTATCTCATCATCTGTTACCTCAGCAGAAGCAGACAGCTTCTTGGTGACTCATGTTCTGTACTGCTGGAAACCTCAATATATGCTCCTCTATCATGAACTTGATCCAGGCCTCATTCATTATGTCCATGGCAAGTGAAATTGTTGGCCATTTCTCATATCATCCAGAGCAGCCCTAGTCTTTATCGATTCTCTTTGTCTCAACAGAGAAGTCGACATGGCTCTTTCAGAGACCACCTGGCCTGCATGCTCTGCTTCCAGTAGAGTCAGCAGACACGTTCATTACAATTCACATAGAAAACAAGCTCATCAGACATCAAATACAATGAGTTGCACATGGTTTTTTTGCTGCTTAGTTATATGGGTTGAATAAACACTGATCTTTTTATTCAGAACGTGTATCTTCACATAGAGGTGTATTTTAGTAGATTTATGAATGCTCTCCTCTTGCTGGACTTACTTTTTTTCCTCCCACAGCTCTTCATCTGACAGTGGTTTCACTGAGATATGTTTGAAGTAGGGCTTTAGCACAAACTTGTTTTGCTTAGTTGATAAAGAATGGATTTAAGTACCCACTAGACAGTATGTTTTTTAAAGGAGGAAGTACAGAAGAGAAATCTTTATTCCTGATGCCATCTGCAGACTTTTGTAGCTAATGTGGTTTGATCTTGAGGCTTCAGTTTTCTCAGAAATTGCAGAAAATGCCATTTTTAAAATATTTAAATAGTGGAATAAGACAAGTAGAACAGACTTTTACACTGCTTTTCACCTAGATTCAGGTGTAGCCTAGATTCAGAACTGTGTCAAAAAACGAAAACAGTTTTGGCACATCATCAAAGCACAAGTAAATGTGCTAATTAAAGGCATCACAGAAAGTTATTCAGTTTTGTAGGTATTTAGGAACTGAGGAGAAGACCAGTTTAAGGAAGGCTGAAATCTGGGTGAGTATGACTAGATAAAATTACTGGATTATTTGTGACTTTGTGCATGAGTTTTAACTGTCTGTTGAGAAATCCTAGGAGAGAGGCATAAACACTTGAAATCTTTATTGTAATCCTGTTGAGATTCAGAAATCTCCAGCTGAAGTTCAGGGGATTGTTCCAGTTGTACTTTGAGTCATCAAATTAAAGCGCCCGATTATTTTGAAATTTAAATGTGCTCTGTATCCTGTCAGTTTTCACTGATCCCTATTTCACTGCCTGCTGAGAGGCTCTTGTTACAACATCCGTGCTCTCTGGAGTTTGTCTAACAACTGTAGCTGGTGGCAGGTCATGCATGAACAGTGTGGGAGATAGGAGAAAACTTTAAATATAATAAAGCTGTGCTTCATTGTCAGGTATTTCAGGGCAGGATCAACATGAACGTGAAACCTGAGATGTGAAACCGAAGCTGAGGTTTTTGCAGTAGCAACGTTATTATTTTACTGTTTTCATAGGATTGAGATTTAACTGACTGAACCCCCAATTAAATGCTTCAGCATGCTAAAGTAGGCTCTCCTTTTTCACTTCAGCAGTTCTTTATCTTTTCTTGGGCCATACTGTAGCTGCAATTGCAGGATGGTCTTCATCAAAGGAGAAAAATTAGAGATTCTGCTGTGGTTTTTGCTCACTGGCTTTAAAGCACGTGGCAGTACTTGGCATGTATCGAAGGTGTCCTTTGGAGGATGACAGCCAAACAATCTCTTTTCCCTTGGTTTTGAGATGCTTTGTAATACAGTTTTGGTTCTAAAACAGATTTTTCAAATGACTTTCAGAGAAGAGTTATTTTAAGGCTCTTATTTGTTTTTCTCATGTCAGCATTTCTGGGCTGCAAAGGATGGGCAAGTCTGCAGCGACCCATTTGCACGCTCAGGGAATGAGTTGCTGCTGACAGGCTGTTGTCAGCAGTGAGTCCCCGTTCACCTGTTCTCAGCTGCTGCTGGAAACTGTTGAGTTGCCTGGATCCTGCAGCCTGGTCCATGGGAGGATGGCTGGCTGTGATGGCTCTGACTTGTGCTGTCTGTCATGGTGTTGAAAACTGCGCTTTCCACACTAAGCCAAGCTGTTTTCATCGCCAGGGGAAAAAAAAAGATGGTTGTCCTTTGCTGACAAAAGGGTTCTGGATTATTATCTGACTGTAGGTGGCCTGAATTTGTGCCATTAGAGACAAACTGCTGCTTTTTACAGGTTTAAAATACTTGAGTCTGCTGTTTTAGAGAGAGAATCTGTAAGTGTCTTACTTTGTTATTGTCAGTTGCCAATAACAACTTTTGAATGATTTATGAAGAAATATTTATTGGGTTTATGTATCTGTTAGATGTGTTCATGCCTAGGCATTAAGATGACAAACAGTGTTATTGTGCTTAATATCCTTCTATTTCCTTTTTTTTTTTTTTTTTTAACACCCTGCATGACACCTGCCACTGAAGCAGTGGGACTGAAAGTCTTCTGACATATCCAGACTTATGTGTAATACAGAAGTGACATTCAGCTGGGACACAAAGTGATTCAGAGCAGAGTGTGGCCCGTGTTGAATGCAATAATTTTGCCCATTGGTTTTTTTGGAGTGAGTTTTTGCAAGTTGCTGAAATCCCTCAACTCTTTTTGATTGAGTAGCAGTTAACACCTTTCCAAACCTGATGAATTTAGGTACCAAGGCATGGCATAGGCTTTTAAATCCCTGTCTGTTCAGAGCATGTTCATACAGTCCAGGGCAGATGCTTTTGTGCTGATGCATATCCTCAGAAGAATTTATCCATGCCAGTGAAACTGAAAAGAATTGTGATCTGGAAAATTACTTAAAAAGCCTTATTAATATACAGAATGTGTTTTTAGAATTTTTTTGCCTTCAATTTGGGAAGTCCTTACTCCAGAAGACATTTAAGAAGAAATAGTTGGTATTTAGAAAAAAAAAGTTGGTATTTGAAGGCACAATTTAGGATTGATATGTAATTCTTTGATATGACTTATTCTGTTTAATTCTTTCAATGCATTAATTCATGGTGTGCTTTGAGCAGATTACTTTTTCAGTAGGAGCCTCCTCAAAAGGGGTAAAAATAATGCTAATGCCAGCAGCAAACCCAGTCTTCTGATGTGCATGTGGCAAATTCTCATGTAGTGTTTCTGTTTTATGGTTAAATCATTAAAAATAAATGTTCTAGCCCTAAAGCATCTACGAATAATTGTATTCAGAAGAGTAAAACATCTTCTTTTTTTGTCTATTAGAGTTATTTAATTGAATTTGAAAAGGGTTATTATTCCTAATAATTCCCAACCATTATTAGGAATACGTTGATGTTCAGATTTTCTTGGGAGGTTTTCAGAAAGGAAATTAGACTTGAAATACTTTAATCTTCCACGAAACAACTTTTGTATTTGAATGGGAAAAGTTTTAAAACGAAAGCAGAGGTTTTCACAACGTACGAACTGACACGGCTGAACCTCCGCGGTGGGGCTCTCCAGTGGGAATATCAGGAAACACATCTGCAGCGGTGACAGCGGGTGGGGTTTCAGTTGCCAGCGCTGGGGCACCGGGAGTGAGCGAGAGGAGGAGCGGGAGGGTCCCGCTCTGACTCAGAGCCTCCTCTGCTCCAGGCTGAGTCAGCGGCGGCCCCCGGGGAGAGCAGCTGGAGCCCCAGGTGTGAAATATGTGACAGCAGCTTGATCTATCGACCACTGTTAGAGGGGGCTCTGGCCTAAATGAAAATTCATGAAAAATTGATGAAGTCCCCAGATTATTTTTTTTTCCCTTTTCCTTTTTGCAGTGCTGTGCCAGTGCAGCGAGGAGAGATTAAATGAGGTGTTGAACGCTTTAGTGGCAAGGAGGTTGTGGTTCAGAGGTCAGTGGGGGAGGGGGAGAAGACACATTTTCTACCTTACTTCCCTTTAAAAGAAAACATAAGGCTTTTCAGATTAACTGGGATTTGCTGCCATTTCAATATAATAATAAAACTCAGGAATATTCACAAATAGGATTCTTTTCTGCATAGGTTGGCGAAGGTGAGGAGTATGTGGGTTGGTGTGCAGAAAGCAGTGGAAGGCTCTGAGTCATAATTCAATTGGAGAACCAGAAATAGATTGAATTTTGTAATGGCAGTATAAATTTGGGCTTCCATCTTTCTGAGCCTGTACTTGAACTGAAGTCATTTGGAGAAAGAAGAGGTCTTGCATTATTTATATGCCAAAGATTGCTTGAATAGCAGGCTTTGGAACGCTCTCCAAACATAGTGATCCTGCTTATGTTAGATTCAAAACTGAATTATGTTTTTATCTGTAACAAGAGAGGTTATAGTAGTACACAGAGTTTAGTGTAAAGAGTCATAGGTGTATTGCAAAGCAAGCATAAGCCAGATCTTAAACACGGGAGGCAGTAATTTTGCAAATAAACAAGATATGTTTTAATGTTCAGTGAATGAAGGCTGAGAGGTATAAAATATATGCTGTGCAATCACATCTGTATCATAATGCTAATGACTGTTTGCTGCAGCATGTGCAAAAGACTGCAGTATGTTCATAAGAATGGAGTTATTAATTTAATTTGAGATATCCAGTGAAAAAAGAGCACAGTGTGTGTGACTAAAATGGGGGGACGATTTTTTTGTCTAGTTTCTGTTTGATGTATGACTTAAATAGTAAAAATTGTTATTAATTTTGTTACTGGTAATTTC